TACACGGAAAGTCAACACTTATATCCGTGATTTTTTGATGGCACAATGGCTAGTCCTGATTCGCACATCTTTTTTTTACCCGATCAGTAGTGTAATTCTCCTAGGTGACATTTTTTTTTCTTTTTTACAATTTGTACAAAACTGTACCCATCTAAAAAAAAATCCCTTTATTTCATGGAGAAAATTCCCAGTTCCCACCTCCTGCATTCTGGTGTGCCGCAATCTACATCCATCTAGATTCTTATAAGGTAGATTGGAGCTACAAAGAGAACAATGGGGCTCAATTTATACAAAAAGAGGGGAATAAGGGGAGAGAGGAAGGAAGACGTGATCAGCATTCAAAGCCTCAGAAATCGTTGTGTGTGAGAAAAAGGCAGAGATTCTAGTGCAACTTTATGGGTAGGCAAGTTTATCAGGCATATGTGAAGGACATGTATGAAACCAATCATGCCCAGGTATAAGGCTGGTACACTTATTGTATCCATTGCACACACTGGTATGTTGCAAGGGATCCCAGGCATTGCAGCCATATGTATTATACATGAAATGTAAGTGGATGGAATGTTAAAAGTGAAGAGATAGATGACACAGAGGCACAGAAATAGATAGATAGATAGAGATAGATAGATAGATAGATAGATAGATAGATAGATAGATAGATAGATAGATAGATAGATAGAAAGATAGATAGATACTGGTGTATACAAATAATGGCAAATACTTCTTGTAAGAGTATCCACCACTCAAAGCAAAGCAGTCAAAATTTTGGGCTGCATGGGAGCAGTAAGCCGATCCAGCCCAGGCAGATATGGAGACACATACAGAGAACTGCTATAGTAAGAGTACATTGTATACTCATAGGCACCCACAGTGCAAATTCCACCTTGGACCAGAAACGATTAAACAAGGACAAGACCTAGTAAGAAATGTCCTCTCCAGCAAAGGGTAGCAGAAGTTCAAAGACTTCTTATGCTGGTTAATGGGATCTGTATTCTTTCAGATGTGCAGGAGTATAAATAGGGGCTGATTTTCTAAAGAAGTCGTTTTCACACAAGGCTATGTTCACTGCAGCTTCAGAACATTTTAAAAAAGGGATTTTTCTGAGACCTGGTTGAGTATTGAACACAAGCTATGGAGGGTGATCTATATGGGAGAGAACAGACTAATTATTGTAAAGACTCGCACACAGCATATGAGAGCCGCACACTCCATATATAATAGTTCTGTGACAGCGCTACGCTACTCTGCGCTCACCTCTCCATGAGTGCTCCACAGGAGTATATAGGTATATACAGGGGGGCACCAGTCACATAAGCACTGGGATGGATGGACCGCTCTATGGGAACATACAGAAATATACAGGGAGAGGGGGGGGCACCAATTGCATAAGCATTGGGATGAACGGAGCGCTCCATAGGAGTATATAGTAATATACTGGAATACACTGTGAAAAGTCACATCTGCTGTCGGATGACGGAGCGCTCTATAGGAGTATATAGGAATATACAGGGGGGCACCAGACATATCTGTACTGGCATGGACGGAGCACTCTATAGGTGTATAGAACACAGTTGAACGTTGTCTATGATACTTTTTTAATTGCTATCAATCAACCTTTAGCATAGGAATGTATAGGGGGCTCAGATCACCTCTGTATTGGAATGGACACAGTGATCTATAGCAATATATTGGAATATTTTGGAACATAAAAGGGGGCACCAGTCACATCTGTATTGGAAGGGACGGAGTGCTCTACAGCAATATACAGGAATATATAGCATATAGTATAGGGAGCTCAGATCACATCTGTATTTGAATGGATGCAACGATCTATGGGAATATAGGAACATAAAAGGGGGCACTCTATAGCAATATACAGGGGCACCAATCACATCTGTATTGCAATGGACGAGGTACTCTATACAGGGGCACCAGTCACATCTGTATGGCAATGGACGAGGTACTCTATACATGGGGGCACCAGTCACATCTCTATTGCAATGGACGAGGTACTCTATACAGGGGCACCAGTCACATCTGTATTGCAATGGACGGAGAACTCTATGGGGGCACCAGTCACATCTGTATTGGAATGGAAGGAGTCCTCTATATATAGGGGCACCAGTCACATCTGTATAGCAATGGAAGGAGTCCTCTATACATAGGGGCACCAGTCACATCTGTATTGGAATGGAAGGAGTCCTCTATACATAGGGGCACCAGTCACATCTGGATCTCATAGACTAACAAGCTGCGATGCAGTTTAAAGGGAATACAATAGTAGAACACATAGCCCAGCGATAATAATTAGGACAAAGTTTGTCGGAGTTGTATTGCACATGATCGGGCTCATAGATTAGAGCAGCCATCCAGCGATCCTCCTCTGTGCCCCGATCAGCCCTGACATCGGAGCCAACCACATCCAACTTGGTGTCCATCCAAAGAAAGTGAGCTCGGTCCTCTTCTGTCCATGGAGGAGCTCCGTTCTCACAAATCTCCATAGATCCATTGCGATCCTTGGTAGAAAACTGGGGGTCATAGTTCCAAGATACCCCCTTCCCGAAAGAGCTAGAGAACCCAAAACGATCCAAGTGCTGGCAGTAGGAGCAATCCTAGACTTACCTTCACTGGCCGGATAAATCCTAGATCCCGTTACTGCCGAACAGATCCCAAACAGCATAGAACACAAGAGGCACTGTATAATCCCAGCCATGGCGGCTGCAGAAGGTGTAGCGGTGGAAGGAGTCTGATGGCTGTACACACACACACCGTGCCCGCTCTACTTCCCTTCAATATCCCAGTGGAATAAATGCTTCAAGTTTTAGTGCGGCTGCAAGACATTGCCAAGAGGGCGGGGCTTCGCGGCTCCTACTTACCCCCGTCCTGCTTCTCCCCGTCACTCAATAGGCCGCCAGCCAATGGCAGAGAGAAGTGGGCGTAGGGTTGAGGCGGGGTTTGGTGAACACGCCCCGTTTACCTGGACTGGCCCGTCATTGCTAGACAGGCTCGCGAGGAGAGCGGTCTAAGTTAGAGGGAGGGCAGAGCCGGGGATCGCTGAGACGAACGGGGCTCTGTGGGATCTGCAGATGACAGATCGGTACTTTTAACCCACAAAGTGCCGGATTATCAATGGCATTTAATGACCTGTGGAATGCAATAGTGTGTCCTGGAAGCAGTGAATGGGCTCAGGGTGGTGGTGATCAGCTGTGTTATAGAGGGTGTTACATGTCACAGCACGGGAAGTGTACAGTCTAGCAGCAAGGTGTGACCCAATTATCACAGGAACTGCCCCCGGGAATATTAGCGGCTTCTGTACACATTTCCTCTCCCATTCACCTTGACTGTCTGCTCTCCTATGTAATAACGTCTCATTGAGTGCTGCAAGGCTGCACACAGAGGCTGCCCCCCTGATGACGCCGCCATCACTGCCCGGGGACTCTAGAAGTGCCTTTGCTGGAAGCAATCATTCTGCTATTAAAATATAATCCCCCTTGGATCTCAATCTGCAGCATCTCATATATGAGCTAGAACTGCAATGCAGCACAGCTAAAGGCCGTGTCCCTTCTGGAAGGAAACCCCCATGTCTAATACTAGGAAGGAAATGCAGAGATTAGAGTCACATGTGCCCCTTTCCATCATGGCTTCCTGGGGGTACACGTCTTCCTATTAGTTTGAATCATTGTCCCAATAAAGAGGATCCAAATGAGAGCTAAGGCTGACCATACACTGGTAGATTTTTGTACGAACGTTCATACGAACATTCTCGTCAGAACATTCAATAATGCAATCAGAGACTTCACGAACGTCGTTAGAAATTTCATTTAATTTTAACATTCAATTTTGGAAATGAATGGAGTTTCCCGAATGAAAATCACTATCACTGTTAGAATTCCGTTCCTTCAAGAAAAATTTCAGTTCTGAGCCTTCAATTTATTTGTCACTGCAGTCTGAAAAGATTGTCGATTTGACCCCATTAACTATTAGAAAATTGAACAAACATTCTGAAAATGAATTATTTTATTATTATTTGTATGGTCAGCTATGTATATTTTATTGTATGGTCAGCTTGTGGGCCCAGTCACCGGAATTCGAGGTACAGCAGGAATGCCCTCCGTTCGAGTGCAGTGCTATCTGAAAAAATAGTGCATGCATAGTTTTTTCAGATCGCACTGCACTGTAACAGAGATCATTCTTGTACCTCACGTTCCGATGCGGGCGAGCGCACTGCGGGCCGGGGGTATGTCTGCGGTGCCATTGACATGGATGGCACCGACACACCCCCTGCCGCCCCAGAACACAGCCCGGCTTCATGTATGCGATCCAGTGCGTTATATACAAATTAAATAGGAACTGTGAGTATAGAAATATTGGAACTTCCATTGCTGACTTGTTTATAAAGCCGTGGTCTTGGGGCAATGACCTTGCTTACCAATGAAATAAGTGACAGAGAACAAGCATGCAGCCAATAAAATCTGAAAACCTCTATGGCTATTTTGCATTCTTGTTCCAAACGGACGACTTGATAGTAGAAGCAAGGATCGGTATGACAGCACAGCCGTAGCATGGACAATAAATATGCAATGGCATCTCCCAGATTTTTGTTCTTGCGCTGTAAAAGCTTTTCCTTCTCTAAAAGGGAAACCTGAAAATCTCATTATCAGAGATCTGTCAGCAAAACCAAATTCATCCTCAGTAACCAAAAGTAGATTATAAGATAAGACAACAGCCAGGAAAAGTGAATGGCCCTTCGGCTTCCAACACTCATTCAGAGGGAGAGATCAATTTACAGCCGGCAATAGTCATCGGCGTCACCTCTGCCACCAGCACAAGGATGATCGATGACTTGCTGATTTACCAATGAGCGTTCTGTGTATTGGGTGCTGTGTGATCTATCCATAGTGTCTATATACACTGAGTGGCCAGATTATTATAACCACCTGACGTTTGTAGGCAAATTAGCTATAATTTGCTATAATTTCGCGCTGAAGTTGCTAGAGGGCCAGACCATTATAAATAGGGAAGCAGGTTGTTTACCACGACAGTAGCAGTGACTTTTTTCTGAAGATATGGGTAAACAACGCGATTTAACAGCCTTTGAACGGGGATGATTGTTGGCGCGAGCCATGGAGCGAGTATCGGCAAAACAGCAGAATTCGTTAAATGTTCAAGAGCTGCTGTTGTTAAAGTGTTTAAAGACTGGACTGTCAGCCGAAAATCTGGGTCTGAACGTGCGAATTCTAGCCGCCAGCGACCAGTCAATGTTAGGGAGAACGGAGAATGGCAAGACTGGTACAAGACAACAGAAGGGCAACAGTGCAGTGTCAGATTCCTCGCATCACCTTTCAATATCTCGTGGAGTCACGAGGCGGCCCAACAAAGTCATCTCGTGGCCCACAGAAGTACTGATGGGGTGGTCATAATAATCTGGCCACTCAGTGTATAGGCTTTATCCATAGGATCTCTCTATGGAATCTATAGGATCTATCTTTAGGACTTATCTATGGGATTTATCTATGGGATTTATCTATAGGATTTATTTATTGGATCCATCTAAAGGTTCTCTCTATGGGATCTATCTATAGGATTGTCGATTGGATCCATCCATAGGATCTATCTATGAGATCTATCTATAGGATTTATCTATGGGATTTATTTATGGGACCTATCTATGGGCTCTATGTATGGGATCTATCTATAGGATTTATCTATGGGACCTATCTATGGGCTCTATGTATGGGATCTATCTATAGGATTTATCTATAGGACTTATTTATGGGACCTATTTATGGGACCTATTTATGGGCTTTATCTATGAGATCTATTTATAGGATTTATATATGGAATTTATCTATGGGACTTATCTATGGGACCTATCTATGGGCTCTGTGATGCAGCATACTGTGGGTGATCAGTTAACAATTCAGTGAACAAAAGCTCTTTATGAGTCCCGCACAACACAAGGTTTTTATTAAAACAAAAAGAAAATAGTTTAAAGGTCCATTTAGATCTATGGGTGAGCGTAGAACTGCGTCTTTGTAGCGTTAGGTGTGTTGTCATTCATCGACGTGCATTTCCATGTTACCATGCATTTATGAACTTGGGATTTGGAGTGGATAAGGTAACAGCCATTGACCAGGGCTTGCTAATAACTGTAGCCAATGTGTCAAAATGTATCAAAACACATATAACTTGCATTGGCATTACACGTTGCCCTGTCCTATTTTTTAAAGCTCCCTGCACTGCAGCTCGGAGATAAGAACAGCCGCTATTTTTAGTACTGAGAACCTGGATAGATTTGTTTTAGCGCATTGTAACACGAACGTTAAAACGCAACAATGTACACAGTGTACATGGACCCTAAAGGGAGCCAGTTATGACTTTAGGTTTTTAGAGAAGGTGGTATATGTAGAAGATGCTTGGATCCTCCAGATTTCAGATTGAAGGATGTCGGGCTGGAGGCTGCAGATAGGGCCACACACTGAGCAAATTCTGTCTGGTTCAACAAGAACCGTCCGCAATTCCCTTCCACACATGGCCATCGATTCATTTTAAAACAGTTGTAGAATATCAAATAAACTTTTCCCTTTTCTCTGCTGCGTCATTGAATGCCAATGGCCTGCCACATGAACTTACACCCTTACAACACCCTTCCTGTGAAAGACATTGTCAATAAGACTCCTGAAACGTGTCAAAGATGCAATTCAAGTGACTGAAATACAATAAAATGGTAATATTTATTTGTATACATTGATGTTGCTTAGATGTATAATATTTAAACTACTAGTCCTAAAGAAACACAAGTGATGTGTCACTGAAATACAAAAACAGCATATTTAATAATAACACAGCAGTCAATGTGGAGGGATACAGTAACCTATATTAACCATTAAGGAACTAGGTTGTATTGGATGACAAACTCCAAGCTGCTGAATTCTAATTCCTTGTTATGAACTACATGATGTGACCTATCCCTGCTTTTCTGGATGTAAAAAACATACACACTGTGCTACAGGCAAGTTATTTTAATCAAAGTGTATCTAAATTAGTTAGTAGTTTGGGGTATAATAAGAATGATTACAGTTTTGTTTCTGTGCTCCATTGATGAAGTTTTTTGTTTTCATTGTTCTTTAATTTCCTGCCCCCAAATACAGGAAGTGAGCGGAAATCTCTCCAAAGTGTGAAGAACTCCCGTCTT